GTGTGTGTGTGTGTGTGTGAGTGTGTGTGTGTGTGTGTGTGAGAGAGAGAGAGTGTGTGAGTGTGTGTGTGTGTGTGTGTGTGTGTGTGCGTGCATGCATTAGAAGTAGTTTTTAATACTTTTTTATTTTAATTTTAGTTGTTGTTTTTTTTCAGTATGAAATTGTAACCTAACATAATTTTGGATGCAATTAATTGTTGTGTGTGTGTGTGTGTGTGAGAGAGAGAGTGTGTGAGTGTGTGTGTGTGTGTGTGTGTGTGTGTGTGCGTGTGCGTGCATGCATTAGAAGTAGTTTTTAATACTTTTTTATTTTAATTTTAGTTGTTGTTTTTTTTCAGTATGAAATTGTAACCTAACATAATTTTGGATGCAATTAATTGCGATTAATGGTTCGACAGCACTACTCTGAACAGAAGACGAGTATAAAGCAGTGATATTTGTGTGACCTCGGCACTGGCGCCGCGGTCCGGCCGCTCTGAACCCCGGAGAGCAGTCGCAGCGGTACGAGCCGTCTGTGTTCACGCACACGCTCTGCGGCCCGCACAGGTGAGGACTCACACATTCATCAATATCTGAAGGGAAAACAGACAGCACGGGTTAGCAGGGACAGCGCACAAACATACACGCTGGGCATTTATTCATTTAATATTTGCCTGAAAGCACAGGTTTAGTCTGACATGCATATCGTACTTTATCACTTTATCTTCTGCCTTGTCGCTCCCTTATTATGTCAATCAAGCTTTTTGCACCAACAATATACATAATTTTGTTTTCATGACATTTTACGCCCTCTCTCTGAATCTCTGAATCTAACAGGCTGATTTTTGCTATACTGTGCCTTTAAGACGTTTATATAAACACCTATGGAGGATTTTGAATGCCTTATTAATAAATACTTTTTCATTAAAAGTGTCAATATATAAATAAATATGTCAGTAAATGAATAAATCAAGAAATGTGTCAATAATTAAATTCATGTCAACAATTTTTTTTTTTAAATGTGTCAGTAAACAAATGTTTTTTAAAAAATCATGAAATGTATCAGTAAAGTAAATGCATGTTTTACAAAAATAAATTCTAAAATGTCAATAAAATGTAAAAATAAATAATAATTATCAATAAATACGTTAAATAAATATATGCTTTAAAATAAAAAAAAATATTAAATGGATCAGTAATACTGTAAATATGTATCAGTAAATACTGAAATATTGCCAATGTCAAATAAATGTTTATAAAACACAAATATCTGTCAATAAAATAAAAGGTTTTAAAAATAAATAAATAAATTGAAACATGTCAATAAAATAAATGTTTTAAAAATAAATAAATAATGAAATGTGTTAGTACAATGTTTTTTTAAAGCATGAAATCGTGTAAATAAAATTAATAAATATGTTTAAAAAAATAAATGAATCATGAAATGTATCAATAAATACTGTAAATATGCATCAATAAATACTGAAATACTGTCAACATCAAATTAATGTTTATAAAATAAAAAAATAATGAATTTGTCAATAAAATAAATACAAAATAAATTATGAAATGTTGATAAAATTAATAAATATTTATTTAAAAATACCTTTATTATGCATCTACTACAGTAAACTAGCATAAAACTAGCATTTAGCATGAAAATAAATAATGAAATGTGTTTTTCAGTAAACAAATAAACATAAAATGTGTTAATAAATAAACTGATCATGAAACACTGAAAATACTGAAATTTCAATTTCAAAAAATAAATGTTTTTTAAAAAGCATTAATGTATCAATAAAATATGTTTTATAAATAAATAAATCATGACATGTAAATAAATACTGTCAATATCAACACCAAATAAATACATGTTTGTAAAAAATTAAACCACGAAATGTGTCACAAATGTCTATTTTAAACGTAACCATGATATATCGTAATAAAATGAATAAATACGTTTTAAAAATGTCATGAAATGAGTAATAACATTCATGAAAAATGTTTAAAAATGACATAAATCAATAAACTGCAATTTATGTGGTGTTTATTTACTGGCACATTTCATGATCAGTTATTTATTAACACATTTTATGTGTTGACTCGTTTATTGAAAAACATATTATTTATTTTTATTGGCATGCTAGTTTTATGCTACTTTACTGTAGTTGATGCAGTATAAAGTTTATTATAATGATATCGATATGTGACCCTGCAGCACAAAAGCAGTGTTGAGTCGCTGGGGGATATTTGTAGCAATAGCCAACAATACATTGTATGGGTCACAATTATACATTTCTCTTTTATGCCAAAAATCATTAGGATATTAAGTAAAGATCATGTTCCATGAAGATATTTAGTAAATGTCCTACCGTAAATATATCAAACTTCATTTTTGATTAGTAATATGCATTGCTAAGAACTTCATTTGAACAACTTTAAAGATGATTTTCTCAATATTTAGATTTTTTTGCACCCTCAGATTCCAGATTTTAAAATAGTTGTATCTCAGCCAAATATTGTCCGATCCTAACAAACCATACATCAATGGAAAGCTTATTTATACAGCTTTCATATGATGTTGTTGAGTCGCTGGGGGATATTTGTAGCAATAGCCAACAATACATTGTATGGGTCACAATTATACATTTCTCTTTTATGCCAAAAATCATTAGGATATTAAGTAAAGATCATGTTCCATGAAGATATTTAGTAAATGTCCTACCGTAAATATATCAAACTTCATTTTTGATTAGTAATATGCATTGCTAAGAACTTCATTTGAACAACTTTAAAGATGATTTTCTCAATATTTAGATTTTTTTGCACCCTCAGATTCCAGATTTTAAAATAGTTGTATCTCAGCCAAATATTGTCCGATCCTAACAAACCACACATCAATGGAAAGCTTATTTATACAGCTTTCATATGATGCATAAATCTCAATTTCAAAAAATGGACCCTTATGATTGGTTTAGTGCTCCAGGGTCACACATAGTTCTGAAGGTGACAGGTTTTGGGTTCCTGCACTACATCCTTTATTCTGTGGAGTCGCCAGCAGAGCAGCTGCACGCAGAGAACTTCAAGAGGACTTGAGAGTGTGCACAGTGAGTGTGCTTGAGCTGGTCTGACCTGAGCAGCGTCCGTTCTGCATGCTGTGTCCGTCTCTGCAGGGAACGCACTTATACGAGCCCGGAGAGTTGAGGCACTGCTGCCCTGGACACTGCAGCGCATCCAGACACTCGTCCAGATCTAACACACAGACAGAGAAAAAAGTGTTGTTTTAGTATCACTGATATACTGTTAGAGTTAGATTTTACTTTTGCATTTTCTGTTTTCGGTTAAAGTTTTAGTGATTTCGTTTTGTGTATGATTTTAATATACGTCAATTTTATTAATATTTATTTATAACTTTTTGTTATTTTAATACTTCAAGTTACAGTAAACAAAAATGATAAATGTGTCTTTGGTAATTAACTGAAATAAAATAATTTTTATAATTAATTTAAATTTTTTTTTTCTATTTCAGTTAACATTTATTATAGTTTTTGTTAATAATTTGAATTCGATTCTAATTCATTTTTATATTTTCGGCTTTTTTTATTTTTTTTATTTTGTAGTGCGTTTTTGTGATTTTTATCAGTTTTTATTTTTCCCCCCAATATGTCTATATAGTTTTTATTTGTTAGTTTTAATTGATTTAGTTTTAGTTAGTTTAGTACATCGTTACACTAAACAAAAGTGAGAAATGTTGGCTGAAATAAAATAAGTTTAAGATTTTTTTCAGTTAGCATTTATTTTAATTCAAGCAGTGTTATTTTAGTATCATTGAAATACAGTTTTTGTAAATATTTTGAATGACAAAATTTTTAATTTTGGCTAAGATTGTGTTGTGTTTTATATGTTTATTAGTTTTTTTAAACATCTATATAGTATTTATTCATTTTTATTTATTAGTTTTAGTTTATTTATTTTCAGTTAGTTTAGTACTTACACATTGCACTAAATGCAAATGAGGAATGTTGCCTTTGGTAACTAGCTAAAATACAATCTTTTTATTTATTTTTTATGTCAGTTAAAATTGATTTTTGATGAACTGTCACATTTTACTCTTGACAAATTTAAAATATGTTACAGTTTTTGTTCATATTTTCTGTTTTAATTTTAATTTTAGTGATTTTAATTCCTTAACTAGCTGAAATAATAATATAATTTATTTTGATTTAATTATTTTATTTCAAGCAACTTTTTTTTTAGTTTTAGTTAACTATAATAACCCTGATTCAATGAACAAAAACAAATTTATTTATTTATATATGTGTGTGTGTGTGTGTGTGTGTGTGCGTGTGTGCGTGCACGTGTGTGTGAGTGTGTGTGAGTGTGTGTGAGTGTGTGTGTGTGTGTGTGTGTGTGTGTGTGTGTGTGTGTGTGTGTGTGTACCTGGTATTTATCACATTATGGGACCAAATGTCCCCACAAGGATAGTAATACTAGTAAATTTTGACCTTGTGGGGACATTTTTGAGGTCCCCATGAGGAAACAAGCTTATAAATCATACAGAATGAGTTTTTTTGAGAAAGTAAAACTGCACAAAGTCTCCTGTGAGGGGTAGGTTTAGGGGTAGGGTTGGTGTAGAGCAATAACACATACAGTTTGTACAGTATAAAAACCATTACGCCTATGGAATGTCCCCATAAAACATGGAAACACAACATGTGTGTGTGTGTGTATGCTCTCTTACCCGTGCATGTGCCGTCCTGTAGATTGAAGCCCAGATCACACACACATCTGAAGCTGCCGGGAGTGTTCATGCACTGGCCATTAGTGCAGCGTGTGGGCTTTTGCCTACATTCATCTATATCTAAAAAACACACACCAGCACACATTCAAAACTCCCATACAATATTCACATCTGTATCATTATAAAAGAAACCGACAGTGAATGCATTGCTCTACAGAATGACATGCTGCAGTACACATATTTTCTTTTATCATCTCATAACTCTGTATTATTTGTCTATATGGTCATTAGTGATTGATAACTCTGACTTTGTGTCTCATAATTGCATTAAAAACTAAAAAAGAAAGAAATGATCGCTTTGATCATATTCTACATTTAATCTAATCAAATCAATGCTATGTGTTAACTGCAGTGATACCTTGGCATTGGCCCTCAAGAAGCTCGAAGCCCGGCTGACAGGAGACACACCTGAAGGAGCCGACAGAGTTCACACACTCTTTTCCTGGACACTGAAGCTCGTTTTCACACTCGTTCACATCTGGAACAGGATAAGAAACAGACTCGAACCATTTATGCTTCGCGGGAGAAAGCGCTAGTGAAAAAGATACTTCAAATTTTAAGTATACATTTTAAAAAACGGTACTTGAAGATGATATAATATTACTAAAATAAAAGACCACTTAAAGAGAGACACATGTGTCTTAACACACTTAAGTAGATTTTAAAAAATGCGCTTGTAATAAATAATAATAATACAACTTTTGTTGTGTTTTATGGAAGTACACTTTGATGTGTTGACTAGCATACTAAAGCACATAAAGTACTTTAAATGTTATAAGTTGCACTATTAAAAAAAACGTGTAAATGTTACAAATGTGTAAAATATTTAAACACATGACATACAAGTTTCAATTGAAATGCATTAAAGTGCATTTTAATAACTTCAGCAGTAACTTTAACCATATTTCAAAGACAACAGAATTGTGAAATTGCATGCACTTAAGTGGCTCAAAAAGCACTCTTAAGTTTAACTAATTGCATTTAGTATTAAATGAAACTATAATGCATTTTCATTTAATTGTAAATAACATGCAGTTAAGTGTCTGAAAGCATTGCATTCAGTTCACACTTAAATATATTCTTATAAAGTACATTATTTCCATAATAAGCGCTCTTTTTAAAAGTATGTGCACTTCTTTTTCACATGTTGAGATTGAGAAGGTTCTGACGGTTTGGTCACCTTTGCAGATGTTTCTCTCCAGTCTGAATCCAGCGCGACACACACAGCTGTAGCTGCCCATGTTATTCTCACAGCGGCCGTTAACACACACGTCAGGAGTCTGGCGACACTCGTCGATATCTGAGACACAGAAACTACATTAGGCTTCAGGCTTTCTCTGCTGGAGAATCCAGCTGATCTTCAGCTGTCTGAAGCTGGGCATGAAGTGGTCTGAACTGGTTTAGGGGGTTGATCAGCTGGATTTCCAGCTGTTGTGGCTGAAGTCAAACTGCTAGACCGTCTTGGTCAGAACTTTTTACTTGATTTATTTATTTCTGAAAAAAAGTGCAATGACTATAACTTTCTACTGCAGAAATTATTTTGAATTTTTATACATTTTTCCTTTTTTTGGTACATAACTATGGAAGTCCGTTCCCACTACTGAATAAATGAATACATAAATATATAAATGCATACATACAGAAAAAGTAATTGCAACTTTTTATCTCACAATTGACATTTTTCTCGCAATTGCATGATATAAACTCACAATTTCGAAAAACAAAACTTTTTTTCTTGCAATTATGAAGTTCTTTATAATACAGTAACTCATATTTTTACTTTGTATGAGTTGTACATAACTCATGTGTTTTTGCCTTTGAAAAATAAAAAAACATATATGCAGTATATATATATAATTATTATTATTTATTTATTTTTTCTATTACATTAAAATTTGAACAAACCATAAATATAACTGGAGAAAAACTAATAAATTTAGCTGTCTTCTTTAAGTTGGTCCAAAGTATTTATTTATTAATTTTTTTCTGAATGTGATTTTTCCTGCAGTATAATCGCTTCACTTGTTTGTGATAAAGGGCATGGCCAGGTTTACAATCATAATGGTCCATTCATGGTTAAATGTGAGTCCAGATGTGTTGTATTTACCTGAACACGCTCTGTTTTTAAGGCTAAATCCGGGTCTGCATGACACACAGCGATACGATCCCTGAGAGTTCACACACTCCTGTCCGGGACACTGCAGCGGATCTTCACACTCATTCACATCTGGAACATCACGCACATCATCCATGCACACGGGAACACACTCATATTTCTCATCGAAACCTATATACCCTAGTAAAAAAGTAAGTTTAATTGGACTTCAGCACAATTACAGTGCATTAAGTACAAAATTAGTTGTTCCAATTTCGCAGACTTTAAGTATACCAGTTTGGTGTACTAGAAGTACAACTGCAGGGTATGAACGTGTATTTGTAGTATACTTAGCATGAAATAAATGTGTTTCAAATGAATTTAAGTATATTTATTTTTCACTAGGTTCATTTAGACTGAAGTGGCTTTAACACTTCTTACCCACGCAGGCGTTGGCCTGGGATCTGTATCCCGTTCGACACGAGCATCTGTAGCTGCCGGGAGTGTTTTCACAGCGGCCCGCGTCCGAACAGGGTGACGGCGTCCGACGACATTCATCAATATCTGAAGAAGAGAACCACTGATTTGACCCTGAAAGGCTCAGCTTTACTCTTATAAACCCATGGAAAAGTACATCGGAAAAGTATATTTGAAAAATTGTGCTTGAGGATAATATGATATTAATGAAGGCCACTTAAGTGGACTTAAAGAGAGACACTTTCATGACTTTGTTTCTTAACACTATTAGACTCTTAAACAAGTAGACTCTTAAAAAGTGCACTTCATAATCACGTCAAGTTTTACTTTAAAGTGCATTTTAATCGTTTAGTATTTTGTGGTGCTTTGAAAGCATGTGTAAAATACCAGATTATAATTTTAACTGTAGTGTGTTATTTAATAGTATATGTATTTTAAGGCCTGGTTTCACAGACAGGGTTTAGACTAAGCCAGGATTAGGCCATAGTTCAATTAGGACATTTAAGTAACTTTTCATAAACGTGCTTTAGAAAACACATTACTGGTGCACATCTTGAGACAAAACAAAGGCACTGATATATTTTAAGATCAGTCAGTGCAAGTTTCTTTCAGTTGAAACAGCTCAGACTTACATTTTAGTCTAGGACTAGGCTTAAGCCTTGTCTGTGAAACTGGGGGCTAATGTACTAAATATCTTCTTTTTTTGTAGTACATAACAGAAAATACGCATACAGTATACATGTTTTGATGCTCTCTTTATTTTTATTAAGTAAACTAAATTAAACATTGACTAACAAAATGTTTTTAGTTTTATCTCAAGTGAAAGATCTACTTCTACTATTATTACTACCATAATATAACTAATTCAGCTTAATTCAGAGTTTAAAAAAAGCCCCCCCAAAATTATATTGACCGACATTAAGCAACATGTCTAACTTCATTATTATGGCATTAAATGACTAAATATATTAAAGTACATTTTAGTTGGTCATAAATGCTTGTCAGTACATTCAGCAGTAACTTTAACCATATTTCAAAGACAACAGAAGTACTTATGAAATTACATATAAAAAAGTTCAAAAAAGCACAATCAATTGTCTTCAATTCATTGTATTTATTTCTAAATTTAAACTAACACATTTTCATTTAATTATAAATGACATGCAATTAAGTGTCTGAAAACATTATGTTTAGTTCACACTTTTCTGTAATAAGTACTCTTTTTAAAAGTGTGGCTCTTTTTTCACAACAAAAACAGGGCCCTTTTACAGCAGACTTATACAGATTAGTGTGCAGTAAAATAAATATTTACAGTCAATCCGCTGATATTTGTGTGCAGTGTGTTACCTGAACATTGTCCGTTGAGCAGATCAAAGCCCGGCTTGCAGGAGACACACCTGTAAGAGCCCTGAGAGTTCACACACTCCTGACCCGGACAGCGCAGGGGGTCGACACACTCATCTATGTCTAGGAGCACAAAACACCACATGATTTCAATTCACAGTTTAATAAACCTAACAAACACTGTTGTTGGAGACGGAAAACATATGATTCATTCCTATCATGCAGTACATTTGTACAATACAATTGTACAGTACAATACAATGTTTGGGCTCAGTAAGAGTTTTTAATGTCTTTGAAAGAAGTCTCTTCTGCTCACCAAGACTGCATTTCTTTGATTAAAAAATCTGGTCAAAAATGTGAAATATTATTATAATTTCAAACAGCTGTTTTCTATGTTAATATCTGTTAAACTGTAATTTATTTCTGTGATCAAAGCTGTATTTTCAGCATCATTACTGCAGTCTTCAGTGTCACATGATCTTCAGAAATCATTCTAATATGCTGCTTTGCTGCTCAAGAAACATTTCTGATTATTACTGTGTTTTCTGCACAATATTTCTGTGGAAACCGTGATAGATGCATTTCAAGATTATTTGATAAATCGAAGGTTCAAACGCATTTTCGCTTGGCAACAGCATTTTTTTTTTATGTTTGATAAATTTTACGTGTCCTTGTTGAGTAAAATATTTATTTCTTTATAAGAAAAAAATCTTACTGACCCCAAATTTTTGAATTGTAATCATTCTAATATGCTGCTTTGCTGCTCAAGAAACATTTCTGATTATTAGCAATGTTGAAAACAGTTTTCTGCACAATATTTCTGTGGAAACCGTGATAGATGCATTTCAAGATTATTTGATAAATCGAAGGTTCAAACGCATTTTCGCTTGGCAACAGCATTTTTTTTTATGTTTGATAAATTTTACGTGTCCTTGTTGAGTAAAAGTATTTATTTCTTTATAAGAAAAAAATCTTACTGACCCCAAATTTTTGAATTGTAGTAAATGTCTTCAAATATCAGATACTATATAAAGTCATGATGGAAATGATTCGGTCAAAACAAAACAAACAA